CCATTCGGGGGGGGGGATGTGCACACAAGTGTCTTCATCGGTGAGGGAATGGAACAGGTTGCAGGTCCCCCCGTCCCCCCGTCCCACCGTCCATTTCGTGCCAAATAGGCATAAATATTTCCGCTGAAACAATAAACAAACTTAATTCGAGCATCTTGTGGATGCCAATCTCGGATTCCGATTTGTTTTATGGCCCCCACATGTGCCACGCTCTTGCCACGGCTCCGCTCCGATCGGCAGCAACATCATCATCGAACATCAAACGGCGATTAAACTGGGAATGTCATCAATCAGAGGCAGGGATCTACAGCCTCCAAACTAGGCTAAGCAGATGGCTGGGGAGTAGGCTCGGGAGTAGGCTTAATGGCCCAGAGCCCACCGCTCGTTCGATTCGATAAGCGCCAACGGAACGTTCTACATTTCGGGGCTCGAAATCGGATTCGGATTGAGAAATATCTGTGTTTTACGACACCCAGAAGGGGGATGGTCTCGCTGGGTTAATGAACCTCACGGATACTCAGCAGATCGCGCTCCCTCGCGGATTAGCATTAGGCGTTGTGGCTTGGCTCTTAATGGCGGCCATAAAACGCGCCAAACAATGGCCAAAAATACACTCGGCCATGACAATTATTGCTAAATGCTTTCGGCTACCCAGAACCCAAGACACGGGTCGGACTTTGAGCCGCAGAGGCTTCCGGTCTGGCATCTGGCATTTGGAATCTGGTATCTATTAATATCCCGTAATTGCGGCAGATCCACAGCCCACAGCACCGCCGCACAGCACGAGAAGTGGGGGATGAGCACAGGTGTCAGAAGTCTTCAAGAGGCAGAGTCTTTAGCTGCAAATGAAGTTGCAATCAAAGCGATACCCTAGGACGGGGGGTATTCCTTCTTTTAAGCAGCTTTTTAGGCGTTTCCAGGCCAAAAACACTTGGAAAATAGAGAGATATCTGGCTAGAATTATTATAAAGACAACCGAGGGGCACTGCCGCATGTCCAGCGATAGGTAAAGGCAGGAACAGAGTCTCAAATCGGCCATAAATGAGGGAATCTTCAAGATACAAAAAATAAGCCATAGATCTTTCATTAAGGAAAGTCCCACAAAGAATATCGCTCGTTTATCACAAGAATCCCCCTTAATAAGGGTATTCCACACTTCGTTTTCCGAAAACCCATCTTCCAGGTCCCATTTCTGGTTATTCCCGGCAATCTCTAACGTGAGCGTATTTCATATTTCTCCTCCCCTGGGGACCTCCTTCCTCCTCTCTGAAGGATGTGGATGTGCTGTCGTGGCAAAGCGATAAGATATGAAGTACACAACATCTCGTCTCTGTCGCTGTCGCTGTGGATGTCTCCCCTGTCTCCCCTGTCTACCCTGTCTCCCCGTCTCTCTCTGTCTCTGACACTTGTCAGACGGCGCTAATTAGCTCTCATTATGCCAGAATATGGCATCTCCCCGCCCCCCTCCCCATTTAGGGAGTGTCCCTGGCAGCCCTTGAAAGTGAAAACCGCTTTGAAAATTCCAAAATGCAATTGAAATGGAAACCGATTTCGAAATGGAAACCTTTTTCGTTATTTTTACACCTCTGTCCGGCTTTTCACTTGCATTTTCGCACTTTTCCTAGCGGAAAAATCTCTCGTGCTGGCTTCACGCTTTCCCGATCGCCCGTCCAAGCATGCCGTGCCCCCCTCCCCCCCCCCCCCCCCCCCCCCCCCCCCCCCCCGCCACTCGTCTGGTGGCTTTATTTGCATCTAAATTGGTTGCCGATTAATATGCAAACAATTAAAGTTTCGCTGTTTATGTGTCGGACAATTAGAAAGTCATTAGAAGTAACTTATTACCGACTGTATTTGTATCTGTATCTGGCAGTAGTCGTCTCTCCGTTGTTGCTGTCTTGCAGTTTTCATAAATTACTCAACATTTAATTAAACACGCTCTAAAGCGTCTAAAGCGTCTACTTACCACCTACTTAGCCTCTTAGCCTCTGGTTTTAGACAACAATTTTGCATAATTCGCAATTAAATCACGAGGCGGGAGCCACGGCCAACAACAACAACAACAACAAAAACAACAACAGTGGAAAACGAGTTGATTTCGTCGCGTTTTTAATTGTTCAACAACTCGTAGAATATCTCTCGTCTACATGTGTAATGTGCATGTTAATGAGAGTCTCCTTGTCTCTCCCTGTCTCTCCCTCTCTCTCCTTGTCTCTCCCTGTCTCTCCCTGTCTCTCCCTGCCTCTCCCTGTCTCTCGCTCTCCTTCGATGAGGCTGGGCAAAACACTTCTTCCGGCTATTGGCCACTGAATGTTCACTGGCTCTGTCTCTGGCTCTCTGTCTCAGGCTCTGTCTCAGGCTCTGCGAAAACTCTTGCTCTACTTTTGCCTCCTGTCGCTCCATGCCGCACTGTGCCTCTTCTTTTTGCCTCAAAATTGGTGCATAAACCCGAAATGGGTATAAAGTATGAGTATTTGCCTGCCAGCGGGAGAAATGATGAATGTCTGAAGAGATGACAGCGTGACACGAGATGGAGAGTGATGCGCAGTCGCTCCTTTGGGATCACAGTTCCATGAATGATCTCATCACAGAAGAGTCCACTCTTCTGCTCGTTCAACAACTAGAACTAATCCCAATACATTCCTCTTTAAGGTCTTCTACATCGAAGAAAGAAGAACTGTTGTCCTTCTTAGGTCGATCTCCTCTAGAAGCAATTGTTCTTTTGCTCTGCTCTTCAGAGCCTCTTGGGTGCTGATATACTGATCCGATTAATCTCAGGAAGCTGTCATTGATCCCTCATTGATCCCCCATTGATCATTCTGATCCTCTGATCCACAGGATCCCCTGTGAGGATCTCTCGATGTTGGGTTTCTAAGAGCAATCCCTCGTTCCAGAGCAAATCCTCCCCTTCAATCGTGTCACGCTGTCCTTTCGGACATTGAAGCTTCTCTCACGAGTGCCTCTTACATCTCTCCCTCTCTCTCTCTCTCTCTCTGTCTCTCACATTCTCTCGAGAGATACTAATTAGTTGCGCTGTTAAGTTTACGCTGTTATTGTTATGATTCTGCTACGTTTTCATACCATTCTCCCATTCCCTCCTCCCCCTCCTGCCCTCTCTCTCTCTGTCTCTCGCTGGGACTGCCTCTCCATTGGAGACCCCATCCAATGGGGTTTTGGGGCATTTGTTGTGGCCTTTATTTGCTATTAACTAGATTTTATTGATGCCGCTCTGTTTTTTTCACTGTTTTTTCAGTGTTTTTTTTTGTGGCTTTGGTTTAACGATCTTTTGTGCGCTCGTAAAAGCGCAAACGAAACAACGAACCAACGAAATATTCTCTCGGGAAAAGCATAATTTTTAATGTTCCTGGGATATGGGAATCGCATTCGGCGTAGAGCGCCTGCCAAACGAACTGGAACTACAAATATAATTACAACTTTGTCATTCGATATTAGATGCCGCCAGAGTGCACAACCGCGAGGGGCGAGGGGGGAGAGAGAGGGGGAGGGGCAGGGGCAACCCATTCCAAGTGGCATTTCCATCTCACATCTCAGGTGCAGCCACACGCAAGGCGACCGCCAGCTGGCACTCAAATCAGAATCAGAATCAGACTCAGAATCCGACTCGGACGGGACTCTGCCACCTGTCCAACCGTCCATCCGTCCAGAGAGAGCTCTGCGGCGCCTCTTGGGGCACACCACACCATGGGCTTTGCTTTCTAATGTGTTTGGGTATTAGCAGTTCATCTAAACTTATGACAACTGCAAATCAAACTGACGTTTCCGCAACAGCGGCTCAGAGCTCACACGATCCATCCATCCCGCCTCTCGGGGGCAATTTGCGTACAGATCCAGCGTTTCGGAGGAGCGCTTCCAGTGCAGTTTATTAAATTACGATCCCGGACGGGAGGAAGGGACTTCTGCCTCGGCCGGCGATCATTATAAAGTTATTAGAGGCGCCTCCAATGGGGCAGCAGGCGGCATCTCACAAAAGGCGACTGCTCTGCTCTCTCTCTCTCTCTCTCTCTCTCTCTCTCTCTCTGTCGCTGGCATTTCTGTCAATCATTGAATGAGTGAATGTCCCGCTTCATTAATTCAATTTTAATTGCTTCAAGCATTCAGGATCATCCCAAAGGGAGGGAGAGAGAGGGAGGGGTAGAGGCAGATCTCTATCTCTCATCACGAATGAAATTTCCAAAATAATTCATAATTTTACGACCTTCTTTTCCCCTTTTTTGTTATTTTTTGTTCTTTTTTTTTTGCTTATCGCGCGAGAAAAATCTAAAACGAAAATTGCAGTAGAAACACACACACACACAGATACACACACACACACAGATACACAGAAAAAGTGTTAGTCATGGTCTTGTTAACTAAATTGTTGGCCACGAATTGCTCTGCCGCCAGATGGCTTGGCATCGCATCGCATGGCATTAGGCCCCAAAGTTTTTGGTCAACAAAAGGCCATTCCCTCTTCAGAAATTGTTTGTTCGATTTCCCTGTGTGTGAGTATCTGTGTATCTCACAAAACCAGAACTCCAGAACTCCAGAACTGAGACCCTTTTAGCCTTTGAACCTTTCGCACGCACTCAGGTAGAATCGACTCTCGTTCGAGTCTCGTTCGAGTCTCGTTCCACTTCCCCTCTCCTTTGTCCGATCTGTGGGCCGCCGTCTATTAGCATTTCAAATGGCATCCAAATGGCCATCGCGCGTCATCGCCAAATGGATGTGGCAAGGGAAATGGATGTGGAAATGCCTCCACAATGCGTAAGCTTCCATCATCCATCCGGCGGGGGGGCGGGGGGGGTCTAAGCGGCGCGACTTACAGCCAGTTATCAGTCTATTAGTTCTTTGGGGCCTTCGGGGGGCCCTCGTGGGCGGCCCTCGATTTGTATTTGTCAACGTAATCCCCTTTCTCACTGGTGTCTCTCTTCTCTTTGCAGCTTTCTCAATGGAAACGGTGGAACGAGGCAACCAGAGCCAGGCGGCAGCATCCGAGTAGCGCCATGAAGGCAGCAGCCTTGGCATCCACAGCGATGCAGCAGCAGAGATCTGCGACCAGAAACCAAACCACAACGACAGAAGCCACAGGGCAACGCCACGCGAGGGTCAGCGCCCCCTCGAAGGACTACACAATGTTCCACCGATGCCGGAGACGCTTCTCCACGCTACACCTCCCCCTCCTGCTGCTCCTCCTGCTCCTGGTGGGAGCCGCACAGGCGGCATCCAGCGACAAGGAGCGGGAACGCAAGCTGGAGGTCTTTGAGGGCGTGCCGGTGGACCATCAGATCGGCTACATCGGGGACTTCGACGGCATCGACAGCGGCCCGCCGTACATCATTGTGGCGGAGGCGGGCGTGGAGACGGACCTGGCCATAGACCGGACCACGGGGGAGATCCGCACGAAGGTGAGGCTGGACAGGGAGACGCGTGCCTCCTACAGCCTGGTGGCCATTCCCCTGAGCGGACTCAACGTCCGCGTGGTGGTCACCGTCAAGGACGAGAACGACAACGCCCCGACCTTTCCGCAGCCCGCGATGCACATCGAGTTCCCGGAGAACACGCCGCGGGAGGTGAAGCGGACCCTGCTGCCCGCGAGGGACCTCGACCTGGAGCCCTACAACACGCAGCGGTACAACATTGTGTCCGGCAACGTGAACGACGCCTTCCGGCTCTCCTCGCACAGGGAGCGGGACGGGGTGCTCTACCTGGACCTGCAGATCAGCGGCTTCCTCGACCGGGAGACCACGCCGGGCTACAGCCTCCTCATCGAGGCCCTGGACGGAGGCACGCCGCCCCTGCGGGGCCTCATGACCGTGAACATCACCATCCAGGACGTGAACGACAACCAGCCGATCTTCAATCAGAGCCGATACTTCGCCACCGTCCCGGAGAACGCCACGGTGGGCACGAGTGTCCTGCAGGTGTACGCCTCCGACACGGACGCCGAGGAGAACGGCCTCGTGGAGTACGCCATCAACCGGCGGCAGAGCGACAAGGAGCAGATGTTCCGCATCGACCCCCAGACGGGGGCGATCTTCATCAACAAGGCCCTGGACTTTGAGACCAAGGAGCTGCACGAGCTCGTCGTGGTGGCCAAGGACCACGGCGAACAGCCGCTGGAGACGACGGCCTTCGTGTCCATCCGAGTGACGGACGTGAACGACAACCAGCCGACGATCAACGTGATCTTCCTCAGCGACGACGCCTCGCCCAAGATCTCGGAGTCGGCCCAGCCCGGGGAGTTTGTGGCCCGCATCTCGGTGCACGACCCGGACTCGAAGACGGAGTACGCGAACGTGAACGTCTCGCTGAACGGCGGCGAGGGGCACTTCGCCCTGACGACGCGCGACAGCAGCATCTACCTGGTGATCGTGAACCTGCCGCTGGACCGCGAGTCGACCTCCAACTACACCCTCAGTGTGGTGGCCACCGACAAGGGCACGCCGCCGCTGCACGCCTCCAAGTCGATCTTCCTGCGCATCACGGACGTCAACGACAACCCGCCGGAGTTCGAGCAGGAGCTCTACCACGCCAATGTCATGGAGGTGGCCGATCCGGGCACCTCGGTGCTCCAGGTCCTCGCCCACGACCGCGACGAGGGCCTCAACTCCGTGCTGAGCTACGCCCTGGCCGAGACCCCCGAGACGCACGCCCAGTGGTTCCAGATCGACCCGCAGACGGGCCTGATCACCACCCGATCGCACATCGACTGCGAGACGGAGCCGGTGCCCCAGCTGACGGTGATCGCCAGGGACGGGGGCCAGCCGCCGCTCTCCTCGACGGCCACCGTCCTCGTGACCATCCACGATGTCAACGACAACGAGCCGATCTTCGATCAGAGCTTCTACAACGTCTCCGTGGCCGAGAACGAGCCCGTCGGCAGGTGCATACTGAAGGTGAGTCATTAGCCCAGTCCGTCCGGACTTGAGCGGACGCTAGATCCGTGTTTTCCCTCTGTCCCCCTCTGAATTGTGACCCACTTTCGTCAGCGGGTCATTAAAGCGTTTGTCTCGCCAACCAACTGCCTCGAATCTATGCAACGAGCGTCGCTTATGGATTTTCCACGTACTTCAAACTCGAAACTCCCGACTCCCCAAACTCCAAGCTCCACAAACTAATCTCATGCATCAATTACCCGCTCCCCAGATCCATCCACAGTCGCAGATCAGTCAGACATCGACATCAGGCCTTTAGACATCAGACAGCAGCCATCAAGCAGCGGCAGCAGCATTGCTTTAAGATCCGTAGGGAATCGTGTGTAGTGGAGCGGGGGCACAGGCCGTCAGGCGGTGCATGCCACGAGTTTGGGTCTACTCTATAACGAGGGTATGTGGCATTTGGCATGGAGCTTAGAGGAGCAAAGTGATAATTGGAATGCTTCTAAAGGGGATCTGTGGATTCCATTGAGTGTATGGAAGAGTTTTCTTTATGATCCGATCTATAACTTATCTTGGGATAGATTCTGTTCACGGAAATGGCTCGTATTTAAGGAAAATTCCCACAATTTCCATCATTTTGATCGGTTATAGAGGGGCTATGGAAGATTCACTGGATATCTGTTGATTCTTTGATTCCTCATTCATTATTTTATGTCTAGGGATCGCTTTATCGCCCGCAACGACTCTAGGGCCTAGAGCATCCCCCCTTCGTGGTGAGGGCAACTCTCCAGAGTTCCCTTCCTTTTCTTGTTAACTTCTTTTTGGGGGCCTACGAACAGCACACGAAATTCCAAGCAGTTCCCGTTTCTGACGTTCCTCATCCGCACCCCGAGAGCAATGCAGGCTTTGCCCCTCCTCCGCGCTCCGCCCCTCCTCCTCTCTCCACCCCTCTCCCTCTTTTGTAGTGTAATCCATTCATCATCGGGTAATTACATTTTTATAACATTTTTCTTCGCTCACAAAAAACAAAATAGGCAGCCCCCAAACCCCAAAAACCCCGAAAAAAAAGATACATAGATACAAAATACAGCAACAAATGCAACGTCCAGAGACGGGAGAGACGCGAGAGACGGCAGAGACCGCGAGAGACCCAGAGACGAGGCCTAAAACCGCGTTTCTAGCGCTTAACGAAGGCATTTTGTTCGGCTTTCTGTCTGTGGCTGTGTCTCTGTCTCTGCCTCTGCCTCTGCCACAACCTCCGCTTCTTCTGCCTCCACTGTCTCTGCTATCACACACACACACACACACACACACACAGACTTCAGCCGTCGACAAGATTTTTGTTCAGACTATCAAATGTGACCTCTCTTGTCTCTCAAGAGAAAAAAACAACACAACGAAACACAGACTGAAAAAAACTGAAATGAAAAAAGCGCCTGAAAATGTAGACGCGATTCCAAACTTCCCAGCAATTTAACAACAACAACAACAGAAACAACAACACGAGTTTCAACTCAACGAAATGTTTACAATAAAAAACTTAACGGAACTTAACGAAGGGGGGGAGGGGGAAGGGCATACCGAAGAAAGGAACACCATGCGCCTTGAATGAGACATCGGCAGGGACTATTCGGTATGCAGATCTGTTCTGGAAGATGTTTCTAAGGGATCTCTTAGGGAAGACAATATCACGGACAGAATTCTGCTTAGAATTCTCATAGTTAGCCAACATTATGGGAGTATCAAAAGGAATCAAGGCACAAAAAGATACGCAACAGATGAGCCATGAGAAGGAATAAGGAATGGTTGGGGATGTAGAATAGTTGGAAGAGGAATCAAGAGGATCTTTGGATAGATTGATAATCTATCTAGCATGATATATAGATAGAAAGATGTATAGATAGATAGATACATATATAGATAGATACATAGATAGATAGCATGATATATAGATAGATTGACGGACCGGCCAGGATGAGAGGCAAGTACCATGATACCTTGCCAGGAACTATGAAGAAATTAATGGAACTACTAAATATAGGTACAAACATAAGTACATTCCTTATTTCTATAAGGTCTATAGAAAGAACAGGCCGAGAATTTTGCAAGGCTACAGAGCCCTTGGGGTTACAGATCTTATAAGGAACAACATATCAGATCTTGCTGAAGTTCCAGGACAAGAATTCTACCAAAATGTTAGATTTTTCCAAATATCCCCATTTAAAAGAAGAAAAACTATTCAAAACTGATTCTAACAGAAATTTGTACAGTTTTTAGCCTTCAAAGACCTTTCGAAGAAGGGCCAACGAAAGCGGAAACATTCCCTTAGAGTTTTCACACCAGAAAGCGGCACCATAAGAAGAACCCTCCATATTTCCTTCCGTAGCATATTGTAGCCCAGGCAAGATCCATCCCCCTCTGAGCATTCCATTGGCGCACTCATTCTTAATCAATCAACTCGGATCGAAAGAAGTGCTAACTCCTTTCCTGCTGGTAATAATGTCCGATCTAATGGCACTCTCCGACGATAATTGTGGCCTGCCTGTCTGGCCCCCTCAACCCCTGCCCTGAGAGGCCTTAGGCCCCTGTCTTTGTAGATGATTTCCGCAAATCAAAGCCAAATCAAATCAAATCAAATCTCATCAAAAGCACAACAACGTGAGAGACATCAAATTAAGGGACAGAGATTGAGAGACAGAGATTCAGAGATAGAGATAGAGAGGGAGAGGGCGAGCGAACAATAAGCTGGAATAACAACGCCAATTCTGGGCAAACGAAGAGATGATTTGATTTGATGAAATCTGACAAAAAGTCACGTTTCCTTAATTACAATGGAGGAAAAGCAGATTTGGAATCGGAATAAACCACAAACGAAACAAAACGCATAATTGGCTCACGCAAAAATCACAGAAATAACAGAGAAACGGAGAGAAACAGAGAGAAACAGAAAGCGAGATTCGAGACCCGAAAAACAGAGGTTCCTCTAGAGAGAGAGAGAGCGAGAGAGCGATGTGTATTGAGAAAGAGACGGCACGACAGCTGGATGGATGGATAACCATCCATAGTAGGGGTCTCCTCCTCCCCCTCTCCCTCCCTCTCTTTGGGGGCTCTCAATAATCATAAAACTCGGACTGCGAGACCCTAAAAACTAAATTCGTATTCCCCCCCCCCTTGCCTGGGATCCCCCAGCCCCATATTGAAGCCAATCTGTGGTCGTGAAGACAATAAAAGACCCAAAAACCCAACCCAAGCTCTAACCAAAAAAAAGAAAAAAAAAGAAACCCGCAAAATCGTATCGGAATTTTGTATTAAAAAAAAAAAAAAAGAAAGAAAGAAAAAAGCAAGAAGCTCCCTGGGCAAAGGGCCATGGAATATTTTTTTTTATGGGCTCGCAACTAAAGCAAATTAAAAACGAGAGTCGGGGGGGGGGGGGGGGGGGGGGGGGGGGGGGGGAAGGGGCCAAAAAATGATTTCCAGAAACGGAATCACAGAATCACACACGAGACCGAGAATATGAGTCCTGGGGGGAGTGGACGGCAGAACCAATAATTCTAAAAACAAAAGTCCGAAATAGTCGAACGGAATCGAAAAAGTTATCCCAAAAAGGTAGGTAGGGGAGGGGGGAGAGGGGAGAGGACTCAGCCCTGAACTCCTTTTTGGAGGGACCGAATATTTGCCAGTCGCTTGGAGTGAGAACCACGAATACTTCCCCAGCTGCTCGTCATTGTTTTGGCCAAGTTCTCGTCGGCCAAAAGGAATTTGCAATTATCGAGCATAATTGCAAGAGACAAAGGTAGAGCACGAGAGAGGGAGAGAGAGACACAGAGAGAGAGGTTTCTTTGGAAGAGGTTTCCCTTTTCAGCTGAAAGGAGTCTAAGATTATTGGGAGATTGGCGTTTCGGATAAGGATACTCTTTCAGAGGCTAGTTTTCATCAAAACACTGTAAGGTGATTCTTTGTTTAAGCCTTGAAAGACCAGCCTCTATCCATAGGGTTCTATGTTTCGTAGTCCTGAGTTTTTTCATGTTTTTTGTCTAACATCCATTAAAGACCTTAATTTGATCTGCTAGCAGCGCAGAAGAAAGAAAACGGAAGTATTAGATCGATGATAAAACACTTTTCAAAGGCAAAAGTCACATATTTTGTAGTAAGATCTTTTCTACATTCAATCTTTGTTAGATATTCCAGTTCTTTGCCAAATCTAAACCAACAAAACTTGATCTTTCGTAAGGTATTTTCATGACTAAATCTAAATAAAATCCCAAAGGTTTCTATATCTATAATTGGGGCTCAAAAACTCCATAAAACTCAAACAAAAATATTTAATATTTTTGCACTCAAAAAAAAGGGTTTATTATTACCCAAAATATATGTGAAAAATCTCCATAAATTCACTGATTAATCTGCCTAATACTGTGTTACAAAAGATTTTACATATACGAAAAATTCAGGCCGGTCAGACCTCCATTTAGCATAAGTACCCATAATCCCCCAGAGTATCTGGAGCCCTTTCTTCTGCTGGGCCCCCTTTTTTTTTTTGTACATTTTGGCCACATTTTGTTACAATGATCTGTGGGCTCTTCCTCCTCTGCCAGGCCACACCTAGTTCTCCAGAGTTCTCTCTCTCTCTCTCTCTCTCTCTCTCGGTTCGGGCGGCTGCTTTTGCCGCTGTATCATTTTCTAGCCTGGAAAGCGGAAATGCTATTTAATTAGAGGCGATCAAATGCCGCCATGCGACGACGACGAAGACGACGGACTGGGACTGCGGATGGGTCTTGGAATGGGCATGGAATGGGCATGGAATGGGCATGGAATGGGCATGGAATGGGGACCCAACATCTAATGGCTAACCAAATTACACTTTAATTCGGGCCAAGAAACAAAAGACTTGGGCAGCGAACTTGCGTCTAGAGACAAGGGGATTACCTCTCTCCCTGTCTCTCTCCCTCTCCCCCTCGCTCTCTGGGGAATTATTAAAATCTCATTATGCAAATTACAAACAGAAACAACAAAATGGT